ATAGATATAGATATAGATATAGATATAGATATAGATATAGATATAGATATAGATATAGATACAGATACAGAGATATCTAAATAAAAGATTGATTTTTTCAGGAAAATGAAAGTAACAAGATCTTACAAACAAGTGGAACAGTAATACCGCTTTATCTGTTTTACTCAGCTAAGATAATATCTACATATATATTCCAGAAAATAAGCGAGCCACGCCACCCAAAGAAACCCCTCAATAATTCTCTAGAAGCAAAACACCATCGAAATGCGGGAGCCAACTGCCTGACCATCTGTGCTAGCGTCATATTTTGGATCATGTACTGCTTAGCATATGGTCTGATTGTGGTGAATATAAGCAATATAATATCTGTATATCTTATGCATAATAAATAATTCGATTCGCTACCGCAGCTAGCGGGCCTTACCATTATATTTGGAGTGCTCAGGCCTAGCTTTATCTGGTACTGGATGAATCATTGGCTGGATCAATACCACATCGAGCGTCATTTCAAGGACGAGCTTTAAACTAGATATATTATATATATGAATATATTTTGTATAAATTTTCTAATAATTAAATGCGTTTTTATTATGTAATTAAAACGAGTATTTTCTGTTAAAGTTTTTTTTTTTCAAGATTTCTCACATCAGAATTGCCTAGCTTTATTTTAATAATTAATTAAATGTTTACACTACTAATTTCAATGCTTTAATTACATTTAAAGTAAATGATCGTACTTGAAATATATGTGTGTATGTATATATATATCTATATATTCATGTATAAGTATATTTGTATATATTTATGTATTCTTGTATAATCATAATCATGCACATTGCGTAAACATTATTATCAATTGCAATTGTTGCTTGCACTCAATTAAAAAACAAACAATTCAAAATAAACAAAACATTGGGCTGCACGCAATTTGTTTGTGTATATAATCAATTGTAATTATTGCTGTTTAAGAAAACAATTTGAGAGCTCGTGCCGTAGATAGGCTTAAAAGAATAGCAAAACCGAAATGCTTTGGGCCATATGTCTGTCTATGGTAGGAATTCATTAGGCACAATATCAAAAAAAAAAATAAAAATAAATAAAAAATTATATGTATACATATAATATATATTTTACCTACAAAGAAAACAATTTGAGTTTCTATTTATGGACTGTTTGCTTAATGGCCGGGAAAAGCCCGGCATATGTTTCAATCTGCTTGGAATCAACGTGAATTGTTGCTAGATTTGCCTTATCAATTAGCTAGAATTGGATGTGGTTGATTTAAATACAGTAAAGCATAGAATCTGTCCGAGTTTCGTTTTGCCACTGCTGCTGCTACTGCTGCTTCCGCTGTTGCTGTTGCTGCTGCTGCTGCTGCCCCTGCTGCCGTATTTATTTCCACTCAGTTGCGCGCAACGTTTTGCACTTCACTTGAACTAATTATTTCGTAATCTTTGCTTGAGCTCTCCGAATCCGATCCCGAGCTGCGTGGCGTGCTGCAAGAGAGGAGGGTTTCATTAGTGAGACTATCAATAGACTGACGGCTATCAGTGAAATCATTTCGAAACAAATCATATATATAATCATAGTAAACAATTAAATTTTAATACAAAAGCCAAAAACAAAAGTGTGTATGTGTATGTGTGTGCATGTGTATGAGTGTGACAAATTAAAATTCATAAAACTTACTCAGTTAATGGGTTAATCTTGAAACTTAATATCCACACTTTAGGTAGAAGCTCAAATTCAATCAGAATCAGAACAGACTGCAATAGAGCTGCTTGAATGAGTTTCAATGGCAAATGGAAATGGTATAGGGAATTGCTTGGATTTGAATTCGATATCCATAAGAATCGCTTAACCCAATTACAAAATGCCCTATATATATATCTGGTAATACATATGCATATTTACACGATGAGGTCTTAAAGATAATGAACTTGAAATATCTATACATATTTAGCAGTCAATTATTATCAATATATTTACATTTTTTTACACATATTAGCAAAATACTTTCTTTTATATCTTCGAAATTTAGAACATTCTTTGGTAAATTCAGAAAGTCTCTTCTAAAAGTCTTAACCTAGCTTAAGCCTGTTTGGAATGGGAATAAGTCCGACTAAGTCTCCAGTTAAGCAATATTTATTGTATAAAAGTAAAATAAATTTAAAAAAAAAAAGGTGAAGTACATTTAATCATATATTTTTGTTGGCCTGTTACCCGAATTTGTATGTATTTTACAATCTAGCATCTTAGCAATTTTTCCAGTTACCATAAATGTTTACAATCTAGCTTAACTATGTACTCGATATGTCACGAAATAGATCCTTTTCATTTTTTAGCTCTTGGTGTGAGTTATGAATGAATGACATGCTTAAAAAAAAGTAAATCAATATGTAATCAAATGGAATGCAAAACAAGGACATAATTCGCAAAAGAAAAATAATGAGCAACAAAACTTAATGTATATTGAATTCAAAAAGTTTATAATTTATTAAGGAACATAAATTCACACAGTTAACAGCTAGAGTTACTATAAAGTTTACTTGAATTGCGAGTTAACAAAATCAAGGCCAGTAAATTATATGTTAAAATTCGAGCAAATGCCATAGCAAACGAGATTCGTTCATTAAAGGGAACAAAATAAGCGGCCTGCTTACCCAGCTTTGGTATCCTTGGCTTGCGCCGTTGCCTCCTTCTCAACGCCTTCGGCTGTATCTTCGTCGTCGTCCTCGTATTCATCAGCACCAACTTTACGTCGCTTTCGCACTTCCATATCGGCATCGTGCTCCTTAATCAGCTCAATTTTCTCGGGCTCCAATGGTGCCGCTTCTGCATCTACATCCGCATCCGCATCAGCTTCAGCATCACCATCGGCGTCTGCATCAACAGCCGTATCTTCTTCAGCGTCGCTGTCTTTATCCTTTTTCTTCGATTTAGATTTGGATTTCTTGTCGGACTTCGAGGCGGATGTTGCTGCGGATGTGTCGTTAACGTAATTGCTCTGTGAAATTAGAATTGAGATTCCTGTGATTAGCTTATTTTCCCGCAGAACTCTCTAACATACTTACCTCGTACAATGGCCAGAAGGAGGCAAAGAAGCCAACATCTTCGGTCAGATTCGGAAAGATCCAGAAATGCAGTTTGCCGCCGGTCAGAGCCCACACAATGGTAAACACGATCAGGCGCACAACAGTTAAAGCCAATATGAACACCAAGAAACCGGCTGCGGCTATTGACAAGTAGTAAACACCCTTGCGCAGCATCGGCGGCCACAAAGGAAACAGACAGATGCCCACGGCGCCAAGCAGCAATATGAAGCCAAAGATCCAATAGTGCAGCGGAATGGGATCATAGATCCACACATAGGCCTCAGAGCCGTCCACAAAGATCTGCTCTGGATGCATGTCGAGGCGGATTTTGCGCTTCTTTTTCTCCTTCTTATCACCGGCAGTCGCGGCCTGTGCGCCATCTCCATCGACGTCGAGATCGGTGTCCTTTTTATCTGATGATGTTGAGGACTTGGTATTGGTCTTACCGCTAGTCGTTTCTGTTTTGTCCTTTTCCTGCGTCTTGCTCACCTCTGACTTTTTCTCCGACTTGCCTCGCAGCTCCTCCAGGGTCACGGGAACCTTTTTGGCGCGATGGAAAAACTTATGCTCCAGCATTACGTCCAAAAACTCGACGGCCTGTTCACGTGTGGTAAACAATGGATTATCACCCTCGGCGAATTTGGACTTCATTAGCGCGTCAATGGCTTTACTCGACGTAAAGTACTCGACAACATGACTCAAGAATTTCGTCTTCTTTGTCTTCACATTCTTTTTCAACCATTTGGCGACATTCTTCTCATCCTTCGATGGCTTGTCGACCTTTTGCTGTCCAGGTTCGGTGTATTCCTAAAAATATGAATATTATTAAAATTTATTATTAAAAACTATTATATTTTTAAGGAAAATACACCATATTTTGATTTATTAAGCTGTCAAAATCCCTAAGAACAAAAACATTGAAAACCAATTGCAAAACTTAGTTTTAATATTTTTCTGTTAATTCATTCTATTCTCATAAACTAAATTTGGGCAACCATTAAATATTTATATACCAAGCACAATTATTAATTTATTTTTTAATATAATGTAAACTTCACTTTCAATCAACGCATTTGGGCCACGACATCAAAATTGTATTTCGTCACACGGTATATTCATTAACATATATTTATGTTCTCATGTATGGGTAGGTGTGTGTAGCTGTGTGTGTATTGACATTTATTTCAATCTTATAATAGATACCATTCCATCATCAAAGATTTCCTGTTCCTCTTCCTCCTCGCCACCCTCTTGACAAAGGTGCTCTTCGTCGCTCATTATTTACTTATATTTGATTTATATAGAAAATAAATTTATACACATAAGCAATGCAGTAGATCGTCGTATTTCTGTTTTTCGAGCCGTGACGTGTTGCAATCGCTAAGCGAGTCTAGAAAGTATTAAATCTGAGCAGTAGACAGGCAGCAGCTGGCTGGTCAAACAAGTGCTCACGATCAAAAACAGCTCACGATCAGTTGTATACACATCAATATGTATACATATATGCACACACACACACTTATGTACGTGGTAGAAACTTTCCCCAAGACCAACAACAACAACACAAAATCAGGCACAGCACAATACAAACTAATCCGCTGATAAGTGGGTGCACTTGAGAACGCGTCAAAGCCAAAGAGAGCGAGAGAGTCTTCAAGAGAGACCTTTGGAGAGCCGTCAACAACGAACGCATGCATACCCAGCTTCGGCAAATCTTCACACACTTACACACACACAACCTGAGCGCAAAATACATCAATACAACTAACTGATCTACAAATGCACTCACAAGTTGAGTTTACAACACAAGCTTTCAATTGATAGCGTTGCCAGACCTGTGTCAAAATTACAACCGCTGACAGCTGTTTGATTACGATCCCGCCCGGTGGGGGGCAGGGGCTGTTGTTGAACAAATAAAACTGAATAAATTGAAAAATTAACTGAATGCAAAAGGTGTGTAAAAATGGGCTTTTTCAAGCGTATACATATATATTATTAATAGCCGGAGCGCAGGCAAGGGGCATCCAGACATTACAGAACACCCACGCATATGTATACAGGCATCATAACATGTAAATAGACACATACAAAGACAAATTCAGCCAAGCCGCATGGCAGCTCCATTTCGTAGAGTTCAACTTGCCCCCCGCTCAGGTACACTGATACGAGGTCTCATATATATTTTGTTACTGAAGATTCGGTAATGTTTCGGTTTTTTTTCGTGCTTGCAAATGAAAACAAACACAGTGAACATGCCAATTGGACTGTGGCAAATATATACACACGCATATACAAATATATGCACAATCACATACTCATATATACAGAACCATCGCGCAAGACGTAAATATTTTTTTTTTTTTTTTGTTCCTTGCGACACTTATGCCGTTTTTCAATGGGCCTACATTTATTGACTTACATCTTTACGGCGGCGAGCTCGTTTCTTTTCCGACATTTTTGATTAAGCACGACGTAATTGAGAGGCTTATAGCTAATTGATTCTAAGTATTTTAATATTTCTGCCACACACGCACAGCAAACTAGCGCACGTGAAGAGGAAGAGTGAAATCGTACGAAGTAAATACAAAACACACCAAAAAATACCAAAAAATACTATGCTTTTAAAATAAAGCAAATAGCTGCATACCTAGCTTTTGAAAGCAAAATTTTTGAAAAATTAAAATAGGTAAAATTAAATTGTGCATCAAAATTCAAATTTCATACTGTCAAATAAAAAAATTATTAAATTTTCTCTAAAATGCGTACATCCCCTAAGGCCAAATTTCTACCTCAATTCATTTCGGCTAATTTTGTTTTTATTTATTAAATTACAAATTTTTAATGACTGAGCGAAACCAGTTTCTCAAGGATATACTGAGCTAAGTTGGTCAATATCAGGCTAATAATAGCCATCACAAAAAACGATTGATAATCGAAGTAAATGGTGTCCTGGTACGCCGACTCCTGTTTGGCAGGTGCCGAAACGCATGCGCACACGGTATACGTTATGAGCAACTTATTGAGGAATATGCAAACCCGCTGAGCACGCGTCATAGTATCAAAGATGCCGGCGCCCCGCCACTTGCCGGTCAGCGGCTGCCAGAGGCCCCAGTTGATCCACTGCCGCTCGAACTCAGCAACGAATCGATCACGCCAACTACCTTCCACTGCCTGCTCGCCCGGCCGCACAACCATCGATGAGCTGAGGATTAGGAACTTGTGGCGCACCCAACGATTAACCTTGAACACCTGCACCTGCTGTGTCTGTATATCGATCACCTCGATGTAGTGCAAATACCAACTGGGATACCGTCCCTCATTATTGTGGACAACTGCGATGCGGGTGGGTATCCGTATATCCCTGCTGCGCAGCCACAATATATACGTGGAGTTGCGCGTCAATTCGGGACTTTCCGGATTTTGCATTAGCGTAAACTGCAACTCAGCCCGCTTGGTTGTCTCAAAGATCAGACGCACCGTGGCCGTAGTCAGAGCATTGTCCCGACAGCCCGTTCTCACATAGATCAACAGGTCATGCACATCCCGATCTGAGGCTTCCTCCAGGGCGGTCATGTCGCAGGCGATAGTTTTGCCAGGCTGATGATTATGATACCGAAACAGCAGCGCCAGCACAATTAACGTGCCTAGCAACGCGAAAATGTAAATGCTCAGAAGGACCCAGTTGAATTGAATATCCTTGGTGATATTGATGGGCACAGCAATGGCAGGCACATAGTACACATAGCTGGTAAACGTACCCATCACGCTGCAGTTGCAGTATATGTAGCCCTGCCTCGGATACTGCAGTCCTGGCAGGCAGTTAATGTGCTTCCACTGCCGTTCATCTTTCTTCCAATAGTCGCAGCTGCGCACCTGAAAAACAAACGAGAAGTTGGCCGGACCGCCGGGTATCGGGCCATCCGATTCATCGTCGCCAAACAGCCGTATGACCAGATACACCCGTTTCGCCCTAGAGCATTTGTTGCGCAGTACTATCGTCGTATTGGTCGAGTGGGCCGGCACGCTACACTCGGAATTGGCAACGGCAGACACTAGATTTTTGGGGAGCACTTTCATCACCAGGAGCACATGTAGCCTGTGTGTGGTGTTCTTGAAGCGCACGGCAACCATCGACCTCTGGTCCAACTGTAAGCGATACGCAAGCAGTTGCATTTTCGTATGCAATTGGCTATATTGCAAGCAATTCACATATTTCCCTGTTTCTGCGAGATTATCGTCATTATCCGATTCCTCTGGAAGTCCTGCTATGCTCTTCCACTCGATTCGCTGGCCATAGCTTCTGCTAGTATTGAGGTCAAGCGGCTGAGATACTCCATCAATCTCTTCTGTAAAATAAAAATTGATATCAAGAAATATTCATGTTAAACTTTGTTCCCATTGGAACAGAGTCTAAGTGAATGTTGCGGCAGTCTATTATGTATATATTAATACTTACGTTTTTTGGGAATATCAGTGGCGGGCTTGAGCTGGCCAGTCAGCGATCGAAAGGAAATATAGCTATTATGCAACCGGAGCTCCTCGTGAAACTCATATCCGTGTTTGTAAGCATGCACAGTGAGCAGCTCGTTGGTTGGCTGTCTCTCCTCGGGATACCACCAGTTCAGATTGCGTATACTTGAGATGATTTTGACGCATACTTTATTTGTTTGGGGATCCTTAAGTTCATCAAGCAGCTCCGACGACAGGTACACTGTATGTCTCGCGTCATTCGTATCGATGGCATACTGAAGGCCGGGCTTGAATAGCATGCAATGCAGCGAGAGGGTCACACTGTCTATAACAACGCCTTCGGTGTCATTCGAGTTCACGCCGTGTTGGCGAGCCATGGATAAGAAACGAGACAGTCGCTCCGTTTGCCACAGGGATCTAACCCATCTCTCCGAACGCCCCTTCACCAACTTATTGTCAATTTTAGAGACCTCCTCGAGCAGTTCATCTATGACTGCCTGTTGCAGTTTCTTATCCTTCACAGCCTGGTTATACTGATCGAATATGAATTTGGCCGGAGTTGGTATACCCTTGTTGATAGCATTCATAATATTACTGATCTTAACAAGGCCGAGCGCCGTATTCAAGTAGGGTGCGTTGATAAGCAGCTGCGCATCATTCGTATCCCTACAGACCTGAAAGTTCTCATTCAGTTTGGTCATGCACTTTATCAAAACCGACAAATCCCTATCACCAATTGGCGACAGAGCGACAGCCAGGGTTTTTGTGAATTGAGATAACAAGCTCAGCGTTATCAGCGATCTTGGTTGAAATTGTTCGAAAGCTTTCATTAAGGTTAACGCGATATTCGGTTCGCGTATTACATTGGCAACCGCTTGTGCTGCCGCCATGAATCGCAATTTATTATTAACGTTGAAATATCTGGCCTTTGTTTTTGTCATATATGTCCACAAATCGTTGGGTGACTTCGTCGGTATATCACCCAGCGAATGCACAGTCACCAATGGCATTTGTATTCTCTTGCATTTATATCTGTCACAGATCAACGCCATCAGATTTTGCACATTATTTGGCAAATACACTCTGCAATAGCAGTAAAAGCACTGATTAATCAATACTTTATCCGCATAAAAAAAAAACCGCTTGACTTTTGACATAAAAATCCTGCAACATGGAACAAATTCCGTAATGACCTCAGTGCCAGTTGTCGGTCTTATGTTACACCTAAAATTCGGTCGACGGCGCGCCGTCAATATATTCACCCTGGTGCCGATCCGAAAATCAGATGTGATAGCACGCAAAACGACTTTGCTTACTTCGTTGTCCGTTTGCAAACGCATGCGCAAATCCTTTGTCTGGGACGCCGCATATCCGTCTAAGTACCAAGCAAATACGGGCTTATAGCTGCCACAGTTGCGGCACTCGACCGCCATGTGAACAGTCTCCTCCGGATCATATGCATTCGACTCGCAATTCTTTACGCACGTAACCTCCAGTTGCAACGTTTTGAGTTCCACAATTAATAAAAGCTGGCGTGCATTCGATTTTTGTCGAGGATGAATATCGGAAGCCACTGACAGGCGAAACTCATATTTATTGCCAACGGCAAACGATTTGCCGGGTATCCGAAACGTCGCTTCTGCAAATAGCCAAACGAAATATGCTAGATATATTAATATACATATTAATAATGTATTTAACGTTACGTGTCCAAATTCGACCGTTGCACATTGTATTGTGGACATCCCTCGAGCTGCAGGTCCATTTATATACATTAAATTGCTTTTCGTCTGGTCTTTTGGCGTAGTCCCGACTCGACGAGCCATCCATGTAGATTTCTTCTTCTCTATGAACATTCCTCACAATGCCTCCCCTAATGATCGCGTGCACCGCTTCCGCCAGGGCCTTCATATAGCAACGCGCTGCAAATTTTCTTTCGCCGAAATCGCCGCTAATCTGCATTACATATTGATTGCGATACGGCCCCGACTCGTTGGGAAAGCGCAGAGCGTATGGACCCAAGGTGAGACCAAGGGTTTGGTGATGCAACGTTTTCAATTTTGCTAAATTGAAAATATACTGGATTAAGTTTGGAAATAATACGGATATTACTCACTGCTCTCTGCCAAGTCCATCACGGTCCAGGTGAAATTATTTATATCCATACCGCAATTGTTTAACAAATTTATCTCGATTCTGAAGCCGTACATCACACTGAACTCCAACGGGGTTTTCGGATGGAAGCAGGCTTGGTCTTCCGCACGGGGAATACAGACATCTCGCGATATATCTATAGTCAAAACAATAGTTCTGGAGACTGGATTCAGTTCAGATTGAGACCCTAAACTGCACAAGCCGCTTAAATTCAGTCGGATGTTGCTCGCCTGCCAGAAGGTTGCATTCAGCTCCGCAAAGTAACCCCGCTCATAGCTCAGGTTCACGCTGGGCACGATGTTGAGTCGCCTCAACTCCCTCGCAATATTGTCCGTCTTTTGGAATACCGGTTTCATGGGGGGCTCAATGTTTGGGCCAACGATCCACTGCGCCACCAGATATCTCGGCGAGCTAACTCGCAGTCTCAGCTCACACTTGGGATAGCCGGACATGGTGACCACCAATGGAGTCGGCACACCGTATGACACCACCTTGTTGGCATACAGCCCCAATTCAATCCTATCCTCGTTTCTTATCAGCGACATCAGCAATAAAACCAAGATAATCCCTGTATATCCTCGGAGATCCATGTTGAGCTCCAACTACACCTAATTCAGTCAGATCTCTATTTTTCCGATTACAAATTAACTTTAAACTCAATCAAATTTTCTCAACTATTTCTCAAATATATGTATATATGTATGTATTGTATTATTCTGTGTCTGTTGTCGGCTGCCCAGCTGCTGTTTTTATACTAACCGAAACTAAATATTTAAATATGTTACATGTACAAAATGTTTGTTCTTTAAGAAATGGGTAACTACGATTGTTTTTATATAATCAAAAATGATCAATTAATAATGATTAAATTATCTTGAAGATAAGATTCTTGGGCCCCAAATATATAATAGCAGTATGTACTTAAAATGGTAAAATTTGTTGTTCGGATTGTAGTTAAAAATTAAGGTTTTTTATTATTCTTTGTTTTACAACAAAATACAGACTAAATAATAAGTAAAATATATTTATTTATTTATGTATATATATTCTTATTATTATTAATATAGATCCCTCGACACTCTCTTGGCTCTAAATGTTTACACTATATTTTGTTTTCTTTCTTTTTTTTATTTATTTATTTTTTTTTTGTATTTTTTTTTTTTTTTTCAGTGATTCTGTTTGTTTTATTTCTGTTCCAGTTGTGTGTTTTGTTGTTTGTTTGCTTTTGTTTTGTTTATGAAAGGAAAGCTAAGAAATTGTGATTGGTATTGCAGTTCTTGCATAGGACATTATGCAAATTAGGTTTATGTGCGAAATAAGTAAACTAGCTAGCATGAAGTTTTGTTTCTTTTTTATTTTGGTTAAAAATAAATTTCATAATAATGTGCAGCCAGCGCCGCGAACAAGCAATAGTTCTTGCAGTTCTTCAAATGATTTAATTGTTTTTTTTTTTTTCTTTTTTTTTTTAAGTTATTTCATTTTGTACACTTGAATCGCATGCTCTGTACATTCAGAAATACCTTTCCTTTTTTTTTTTTTTTTTTGTGAACGTCAAGTTTTAAGCAAAACAAAAAAAAAAAGTTTCAAAAAGTAAATATTAATTTTGGGCTTTCAACAATTTACAGACTTGCTCAATTTGCGTGAGGTATTTGAACGTGCGGGGTTGAGGAAGTCGCAAGTCATGCAGAATTATTGCTCGTACAGCGGCGTCGGCTGACAACATTGGGCCCAAAATAATTCAAAACAATATTATAGTATAAATGTTAAAAAAAAATCAAAACTATTACAAATTATAGCGCACAAGGAGGTATGAAAGCGGTCCGCTAACACAACTGCTTCGGCAATTGACTTCAAATATATAAGCATATCTATTTATATGCCAGCTTGATCTTGTCTCTTTCATGGACCTCCCATCAATTCACATTATTTTCTTGATCGCTTCACACTCTGCTTAACTCCCTCTCTTTTTCTTGATCTGCTCTCACATATCTGATCTCAAACGCTGGCCAAGCGCTGGCGGCGCGAGTTTAACGGCGGCATCCCCAAGCGAGTCAAGAGACCCGGTTTGCTTGGCATGTTCGCCATAATGTTAATTGGCATGGTTGCTTGCTTTAGACTTTGATTTGGATAGAAGTTACTCTAGTTTTGTGTATAATTGCGTTTTGTTTGTTTGTTTGATAGTTGATTTTTGTTGGTTGGATGGAGGAAAGTGAAGAGGCAGTTAGAGGGAGTAGAGATATGAATGGATTAGAATTCGTGTTGCAAGAACAATAAGTAAAATGAATATGATGCAAATGATTGCAAAAAAGCATTGCTTAAACATATTGTTTGGTCATTGCTTTCAACACGACGGAATATGTGTGCGTCTATGTCTGTCTGTCTGGTCTATGTATTTCTGTTTATCCTTTATATTGTGGTGTGGGTCTCTGTGTGTGTGTGTGTGTGTGTGTCAGTTTATATGTATGTTTTCATTCCTTTGATGTATGGTTTAAACTAAATGATAATGTATAGTTTAAATGGTAGTCGTGTTAACTAAATGTTAAAATCTGGATCTTACGAATACAGCACTAGAATCGTGCTCGCTGTACCCCAAGCGTTTTGTATGCTTAAACACTTCATTTGTAATGCTCGTCACTGGCATTGACTGATCCAAATTCTCAGCCATGTTGAGCACTAGGCGCAAGTCTCTCTGCATATGACTTAATGGTTGCTGCGGATTGAAGTCGCCTTTGGCCATTTCTAGAAACGAAACCGACAGAAACAAATTAGATAAAATCGATTGCAATAAGTCTTGAGACTTACCTTTGCCCTTGGCAAGTAGCAACGGCGATTTCATAGAAGTTAAGTCAAATATGTCTATGATATCGTTTAACGAAATGGAAAAACGATCAGCTATAATTGCGAATTGGGAAAAAATCTAAATTAATATATATTCTCGATATAATATTTGAATCTACGTACCCAAAGCCAACGCCTCTGCCAGGCCGACGAGACTAACGCCCAGAATTGTCTGCAAAATGAGGTTAACTTTACATGCGTTGCCAACATCTGCTAGAAAGAACATTTGACCAGAATTTAGTGTACGCTTGGGATTAAGTGATAATTGCCATTGGCATGTCAACTTACTGCCCAAGAAGAAGGTGTTCTTGGCTATAGTTTTGAAGCAGGAATGGCACTCCTCAAAGACTGTGCGATCACCGCCGGCCAATATGATCAGCATGCCTTCGGCGGCCTCTTGTCGCGATCCATGAATTTGTGCCTCCAAATAGCGACCATTACATTGCCTGATGCCCTCTCCTATATCCATGGATGTTTCTGGATCAATGGTTGACATTTCTACGTATGCCTTATTTCGCAGATCCTTTAACTGCAGAACGCCACAGTTGCCAAATACGAGCTGCAGGAACAAATTGAGATGTAATAAGAAAATTAATATATGTAAATACACTGAAATGTAATTAATAAATTATAAAATTTATGGTAATTACATCTTTGGCACCCTTGGGATCTGAGACACAGCAAAAGATTATGTCTGCTGCCTCCACTACATCCATGGGCGTGTCCTTAACCTCAGCCCCAGCATCCACAAAAGGCTGACACTAAAAACGAGAGAAAAAAGATATTATATGTTATTTTTTGTATACTTTGTGCCAAAGGTAACTCACCTTATCAATGGTGCGGTTCCAGACCACAACCTTATGTTTTGTATAAATCAAGTCCTTAACAATGGTCGAGCCCATCATGCCCAGGCCGAGAAAACCAAATGTCTGATCCGACGGCACAATATCGCGATCTGCCAACGTATTGGAGCGCGAGTTCATGTCAATGGCCTGTGTCTCAGGCCGTGTGACCACAGGTCGATCTAGCAACGCAATAGCATTCGGTGTGCGCTTTGTTAATGTACCCAAAAAGGCGTCTGTGTCGATGCGGGCTCGTGCCGCAAGCGATGACGAGCTAGCGCCATCGTAATCCGCATTCGGACTCTCATAGTGATCAGCCTCGCCAGATGCGGCGCGTCGTCCACGCTTAGCTGTGCTTGCACCGGTGGGCGTGTGTTGAGCCGAGATGCGGCGCTTTTGTGCTGCTGCTGATTTGGCCGAAGCGGCTTTGCTAGCTTGCTTGCTGCTGACGGCAACAGCAGCACTGGACTTAGCCTTGGGTGTGCGTTTCGCTTGGCTCTTTGCTGTGGGCGTAGTTGTCACAACTGGGGAAGTTGCATTATTTTCGACTGCAGTATTCGAAGTCAACCCATCGGATTCATCGGGACTGCCAACCACATGGGGAACAACACCATTGTTGCCATCAGCGCCCGTTTCGGGATTTTCATCGCTGTCCAGGCCGTCGCGAATTTTGTCAAAGTCAGCTTCGGTGGTATGATTGCCCATACCGCAGCTTTCATCTATTTGACTATCAATCTCGGCCGGATTTTCCACATATTTGTCAATGTCGGCCATAGCGTGCCGAAAGGCAGCCGGCTTGCTAACCTTAGCAAGCTCATCCTTCCACGGTCCTTCAAACGGCTTGATGTTGTGCTCCTCAATCCAAGCGCTAAACACACACACGAACACACATACGTACGATTAGTTAGATATGATTTTTGTTTCTTGTTAGATTATTGCTCTTGATTTACTTACAAGTTACGCGAACCGAAAAAGAACACACATTTCGTATTGGCGCGTCGCTGCTGGGCAAGCAGATCTAGCGGCGGCTCGACAATCTGCAAAAAAACAGTTACAAAACTATTATTAAACAATCAATTACGCACACAGAAGAGCATTTCATTTCGCCATAACACACACGCACGCATATGCACGCATTGATTCAAAGTTCAAGCTAATTCAATGCGTTTCCTTCAATTCATTTCTTTTTCAGCTTCATTTTTTAGCTGTACATACAGTAGAAAGAAAGATGTGATATTTCAAGCAAGACAGAACAAATACGCGCGCTGTTGATATCAATGCTTTACTCTCCCGTTTACAACAAATATTGAAGCGTGTAAGTGCGCTATGACGTCGACAGCATAAGCAACAGCAACAGAACTCGACGTCCGACGCCTCTGCCGCTGCTGCATGAAAAAAGTACAGTCGAAAACAAACACGGCAGCGACAGCGGCAGCAGCAGAGGCGTTGCCGTCGGCAGAATTATAAACATTACGCTTACCATTCCTGGCCATGGTGTGAAGCCCTTCATTTTGGCCCTGAAACATAAACAAAATTTTTATTATAATAAACTTGTTTATATATTTTTAATGTTTTCATTTTTTCAATAACTACAAAATTAGGCGCGCGCGCGCGCGAAAAAAAAGCGCCAACGCAGCGACGGCGACGTTTGCAGCAACAGCAATCGTCGGCAGCTATTACACAGTCGTGCGTGGGGTATTTAGACGAAAAAAAAAGACATAACTGTATTTCACACTGAGCATTATTGGCTTAATTGTGAACCAATTGTATTTTTTCCCAATTATTTTACGCTTGCCCAACACAGCGGCAATTGAGGTTATGTATGGTTTTACTATATTTTCTTGCAACAAATCGAACACAAAATATAACTTTTTTATAGCAAGGCAAGTCTGCACTTTGTTAGTTGTTGTTTGGAGCATTGCAAAATTTAGATGTGCCACAGAAGTCTTACCATATCAAATCTTTGGGCTTGTAGATAAATTTCTCTGTTGAGTCGCCCGATAGCGACAATTTTTTATTTTTCGACATGATGTTCTCAAGGCGTATATTAAACTTGGTTATTTTGCTGCTGTTGTTTGGACGACACACACAAGAAAATATTATTTATTTGCTTTAGCACAAACTCGTCGTAAGCAGCGCTTAATTTTCTAATTTTTCGTATGCAGCCTGCTTATTTTATTTTTTTTATGGCTTTGTATGTGTGATGCGCTTTGTGTATGTCGATAAGAACTTTCATCGAAAACAAAAATGGCGCTCGACATGTGATGCGCATGCTTATCGATTATTTAGGAAATTTTCTGCAGGGCAAGTTGGCATTTCTCAACTAAGTTGGCAGGTCACTATACAAAAATGTAAACAACAGTATGACCAGCTAATAGGGTATTTTTTCAAACGAAACGATTTGTAAATTTGCTTAAATATGAATTATTCTATTCAAATTATTTTCTAAATTTACAAAATCTACAGATCTGTTACTACTTTACCCGAAATTAAACTAACACTAGAAATAAATAATATTTGTAGTATATCAAATTAGAAAAGTATTTACTTCTAACTTTCATTTGTTTTTATTCAGCATCTGCCAGTACTAGATATACAACATAAACTCTTTAATGCATAATTGAATAAATATTAATCTAGCGCAGCCTGCATGTTTGCCAAAAAATCGTAGAAACCATTTAGCAAGCGCGCAATTCATAGATTTGCAAGATAAACAAGAATGCGTGCCAAGTCTCTGAACGTACACACACAGGCACAGACTCGCCATCCGCACACAGATTCTCCCTCCCTTTCCAATCGTATCGCAAAGCGCTTTCCATTCAATGGCTTTTAACCCGTACGACCCGATTTGTTTAAATAAACGTTTGGCAAAGCGCATCGCAAATGCTACAATTCAATTGAGTCCGTTAGCCACTGACCTCATCCACAATTGCTGTTTATCTTGTGCGTACGATCTTCCGCCCCTTTCGCCATTCAAGCGCACACAATGCGAATCCGGCATTCACATTTGAAATAGACCTTTCGTTTAGGCCGAGAGAGACGGGAGTCCTTAACCGCAAGATAAATTACCACACGTAGGCAGCCACTTGCCGCAGCAGTCGGCATTCAACGACACTAAAGCATAATCCTCATAAATATGAAACAATCAAATAAAATAAAAAAGGAGTTAAGGATATAGGATATGGGGGTTGGGTGCAAGTGGTACAGATGATAGACGACGAGAGCGACCCAGTGGCATAAAACTTTTTTATAGGCGACCCGCAATGGTAAACAAACAAAAACGAAGTGAAAAAATGTAACAGTGAAAGTTTCAGAGGGTAAAACCGGGAAAAAGGGGTAAAAAAAAAAACTGTGCACTTTTCTATAGAAAAACTCGCAACTTTTTTGAGGCAAAATAAATTGTTCACACTTTGTGTTGGAATTAGCCAGCAAAAGGTAAAGGGGTGGCAAATAGGCGGGTGCGTTCAGTTTTAGATTGCAAATGATTTATAAGAGTAAATACACTCATACGTGTATTTATATATGTATACATGTATGTACATAAGTATGTATGTTCATACGTACATACTATGTACATACATGCATGGAAATATTAACATTTTTTTTTAATGAATATCCAGTTTTATTTTAAAATACTGTATGCAAACATATTTACAAATGTATGTACAAACATTCATGTGATCTCGTATGTGGAACGCAACTTTGCAACGATCTCAAATATTTAATTTTCCGTAACAAAAAGAAGCCTCAAATTTTAAATGATATCTTTAAGTCACTCTTTTGAAAATCAGAATTTTTCCTCAATCGCCTTCACAAAACAACCATATGTATGTATGTGTATGTGTATAAAATGAAATGCGACACTCATACACACGCAGAAACATGCATAAGCCTTTACGAATTCATGCATACGTACATAAATACGAACACCATGTCTACGTTTTCTCTATGCCGATATGCGTATGTATGTGTGTATGTATGTATGTATATTCTTGGGCGCTTTATGAGTCCGACAGTCGCCCAGGCATAAACAGTCGCTCAGTCGATCGCTTCTTGCTAGTGTCACGCTTTCAATTATTTCGATCTTCATCTAGAGAGATAAAATGAAAAATTTTGAATTCTAATTGAAATTCGTGCAACATCCTTTTAATGGCGTAAAATTCTTATTATCTGCAAAATTCTAATTAAAATTGAGTATTTGTGAAGCATCCTCTTACTGTCGTTAAATTCTTATTATCTGTTACTGCATTCTTTTCGCGCGTGTACCCGTTTTTCTATTGCAAAGTATTTTTTTCTAGGGTTGTGAAATGGCAAATGAACTATTAAATTTACATCTCTAATTGTTTGTGTTAAATATTTATCATCTTAGTGAGTACTGCTCTGAAGCACATGTATATATGTATGTAAATGCCATAAGATCATACACTCTATATAATTTCTTATCTCAAAAAAGATGAGCTACGCAGTTCCATCTAAATACATACAGGCAGCGATGCTGATATTGCGAATTTTCTAGCTGCCGTTATAAGTTTTGTTTACAATTTGCATGAGTGTGCGTTAGCTAGAGATGGGTTTATTTGAAATTGACTTTGTGAATCGATGAATGCGCAACATATATAATTTGCATATGATAGTTATCTTTCACGTAAATATGTGCATATGTGTGGGTGTGTGTGTGCAAAAGCACATGCTTTATTCTAGTGCCACTTCGTATCATCCTTGATCTGTAACTGCAGCAAAACGCTGAATCTAAATAAAAATCTTGTTTTGTTATCATTTAATACAGTTTTCTATATCAATTGGCGGATTTAGTAAAGCGTGTCTAATCAAATTAACCGATGTAAGTCCTTTGAATAATGTAACAAATTTTTTTCTAAATTAGGTTAGATGTGCGCTTGAATAGCCACAATTTGATCGATCTAACAACCCCTCTAGAGCTGGCTGCTTATTTGCATATTATCGGATATCGTTGCATTTATTAGATTTTTTATATGATAAATTAGGGATTTATTTATTTTTTACTAGTGAAATCTGTTTAGCTGCGAAGGCGAAGGGAATGGCTAGGTGCGGGGCTGCGGTTGTTGCATTTGCCTCGGTAAGCTATGCGCTCTAATTATAATAAGAGAATTTTCATGGTCAAACGCAGCTGTTAGCTGATTAAGCTAAAGTGTGATCGATAGATATAAATACATATGTACATACATACATATGTACATATACACGTGCTAATAGTTAGTCAAGTATATTAAAGCTAAAGTTGTCATTCCATTAAACTCCATTTAACAACAGCAACAATCGAGTCAATAGCTGCGCCACAATGGGCGAAGTTTGAACGTTTTACCGTTTTACAATTGCAGTGAATGCGTGAATACAACAACAACAATTTCAACTGGCCGCCTGCTGTGGCAAATTGCGCTTACAGCGTGGCACAAACAAGTGGCAAATAGGCACAAGCACCTCCTTTCGATGCGCCCAGCTACGGCTTTTGGCACTTTAGTTAACCCCTTTTTATGCAGTTTAAAGTGTGCTGCAAAAGCTTTGTTGAGAATTCAATTAGCAAAAGTTGCTTAAAAGCACACGAATTGCCTTAAATTGGGCTAAAGACGAATTGCTTTATTTATATAAATGGGTAAACACTGCAGAGAGGGGGAAAGAGAGAGAAAGAGGGATATAGAAAAAGAGACACACACAGAGATAGAGAAAGAATGAGTGAGGAAAATTTCCTTATTTGTACAAGAGAACTAACAGTGAGAAAAGTGATTGAGAGAGAGACAGAGAGAGACAAGAGATGGAAACTAACGCAACTTATGTTATTTAATGTCTTTATACGAAGTTCCCAGGGTATTTTATTATTTAAAAGAATCCCTGAAAGACCTCCAGTCAGCATTCACATTAGGGATCTACGAATAAGATGTAGATTATATATCTTAATCTTATCTATATCTATTTATAGATTATTAAACTATTACAATAAAACCTTTCCGCTGTTTGGCATTTGAGTTGCATTGCTTCAGACTTTTTCGCATATTATAGAATTATTGCATATTATATTATATTATTATTATGTATAAACATCTATCACTAACAAAAGAAATTCTCCATAATTCACATGTTTAATGTTAAAAGATATAAAAAGTAAGCATATTAACTGAGGATATTTGCTGCCCTCTTGTATCTATTAATACACATGAATTGTAGACATCTAATTGAGACATCTTTAATATAATTTCCCTTATTTTAGAAACCATATTTATAAGTAGCTTAGAAAACAGCGTCGGTCTGTGTTGGTAATTGTAATTAAAGCTTTAACTGCATACATATATATAAATACTTCTACACAAAACTTTGTCTTGCTTGGAAATCAGAGAAATTTCCACACGAATAATTCTCTTCGGAAAATGATTTGAACTTTAAGCTGTGGCTGCTAATTTCTTGTATATATGTATGTATGTATGCCACTGTATAAAAGTATATATACTTATATACATATATGTATATAATTGTATATATATCTAGAAACTTTGTCTAATAGAATTTAGATGTATAAATAAATCTTTTCCTCTAAACAGTTCAAGTGAAGCAAGCGTAAATGGAGCAGCAAAAGGAGCCGGAGCAGCGAAAGGAGCCGGAGCAGCACAAGGAGCCGGAGCAGCAAAAGGAGCCGGAGCAGCAAAAGGAGCCGGAGCAGCAAAAGGATCCGGAGCAGAAAAAGGAGCCGAAGCAGCACAAGGAGCCGGAGCAGCAAAAGGAGCCGAAGCAGCACAAGGAGCCGGAGCAGCAAAAGGAGCCGGAGCAGCAAAAGGAACCGGAGCAGGGCGGAACGGCGAAGACCATTCTGATTACGCATTATGTGAATCCGCAATTGTTCTGCTACGTGCAGCTGGAGCACCTGCAGACTGCGGCCATTTCTGTGCATGCTGCAGAGGAGTGTTTGCTGGAGTTTTGTCGTTTGGATCGCCAGCGCAACAGCTATTATCCGGATAAATATGTCATTATGCACTATCGGCCGATGGCGAAAATGCTGCGAGGGCTCGTCGTTGCTTATCTGGAACGCGACAAGTTTCTGGTGTGGGCCATTGACTATGGCTTCAGCGTCTACTGCAATACGAAGGATTTGTACCCGTTGCCGTACCATCTGCATGAGCGCTACATCGATATCGAATGGGGTGGCATTCAATGTGTGGTGCCGCGCACGGGCGAATCGTGGTCCGACGAGGCAGTGCGATTGTTCGACCAGCGCCTGGACGAAGCGCAGCGACTGATCTTCAGGGTTCGGCATAGCAGCGAGGAGCATCAGAGCTTTGGTCAGCTGCTGATGGACGATCCGCCGGTGGATGCGGCTACCTATTTGGTAGAGAAGCAATGGGCGCGAATGGAAAGCGAGGAGGTCAGTATAGCGTTTGCTCGAGAGTTCCAGCCGATGAGCCAAATCGATTCGGCGGAGCCGAATGAGGAAGATATTAGGCCCAGTTTACGTGTCTTTACTGTGCTCCAGATGGTAGCTTCTAGCCAGCCAGCTCAAATACAACAGCAGCTAACCCCAAGCTGTCCGCTTAGCAAAGAGTCCAAGGCATACTTGGATTCCATTTTTAAAAATAGGTATCATAAACTAGGCGCCATGACCCGTAACCTCAAGTGCCCCTCAAAGCAGCTTGTTCGGTTGGAGGGCCTTGCTCGGTTACGTGAAAAGCTTGAAGTACCCCAATCAGCGAAGCGCCTCAGCAGAATTAAGAGCAGAACCGATGGCTCCGTCGATACGGCGCTCTTTCGCCCCAAAAGCAGTTCCACGGAAAATAAGACCGAAGCTGACCAGCACTCGCCCCGCAAAGTCCGCTTCAATACGGATGTGCATGAATCATCCTCAAGTGGAGTGGAAAATGATACTGATTCCTTGTATACTGATATAATCCACCCGCTCCCCGAAATACCAACTGAAGTCCAGAAACCCTCAATCAATGATAAACTGCAGCTTATTGGCTATGGGCTAAATAATTTATCCTCGGCACAGACTTCATCCCTGTCTGCCGATTCGGAAAATACAAGCGAGTTCGTAAAGATCATTCAGCCTTATCCAAATAAAGTGATTTGTGTCCCCGATAGATCTGTGAAGAGGGACTCAATGAGTGCAAGTCAGGATCAGACTTCATCCCCCAATTTGAATAAACAAGTTAATAAAATATTCATCCCGAAAGCCATTAAGAACAGTGAAAGCCAACCCATGCGACCGGATATAATGAAAGCTATTCCTGATCCATGCAAAAATATGGAAGCTCTTACGAAGCCGGATAATCCTGGACACTACACGTTGAGCAAGGAGCCTATTAAACCAACTCAAGAGACGTCTTCGGGGTTGAGTTTGGATGCGCTGGAGCGCATCTATAAGGAATACTCAAATAGAAACAATAATCCGCTATCGTCGCGCAAACCGCTTGAGCGGCAGCGCATCTGTAATGCAATCCGTTTGCCAGTTGAGACTAATGCAAAAGCCACAAGCTCAGCCCCTGAGCTCTGCGGCCTGGAGACACAAGTGATTGCGCATAGCACGATCCCGGTGCAGCCGGCTCGCAGCTTAGGCAGCTCGCAGTTCTGCCCGGAGGTGCTGAAGGCCATGCAGGCGATGAATGTGAGGCCAACGATGGCCACGCAGCGCTACGCCTGGCCGCACCTGATGCAGGGCCGTTCCCTGGTGCTGGTGGACCGCATTGACAGCGGACGCTCCTGGTGCTACTTGCCCACGCTGTGCTCCCAAGTGATGAGCTCGATGCGAGCGACGGGCAGTGGCACCAGCCTGGGTCCCGTCGCACTGCTGCTGGCCGACTCCGTTGTCAAAGCCGAGGCTCTGTTCAAGCAATGCGATCAGCTGATGGCTGGCCACAAGACGAACAGCCTGAAGGTGGTCAACTCGCACGAGCACTGTGGCCTAGAGTTGCGACTGCGCCTGCTCAACTCGTGCGGCATCCTGGTCACAACGCCCACCCACTTGAAGCAGCTGCTGCAGGATGAGATGCAGCTGATCGATCCACGTCGCCTGAAGCACTTCATCATCGATGACTTCGATCGCATGTATGCGGCTCAGTCCGCTCTGCTCAACGAACTGCTGCAATTGCTGCAGGGCATTTCCAAGCTCCGGTTGCAATTCGTGCTTATCGCGCAGCAGTGGCATGGAAAGGTCTTTCTCGAACTGTTGCGGCGCTTCGACGATAATCCTCTGCTGCTCTTCGGCGACTTCCTCGAGGCGGCCGTCTATGGCCGGGTCAAGCTCAATGTGGCTGTGCTGCATAGCGATAGGAAGATCGCACAGCTGCTCGACTATTTGGCAGCTCAAAGTCCTCTGAAGCGACGCATAATCATCTACTGCAAGGACCAGAAGGAGTTGGCTGTGCTGCGTAAGGCCTTGACCGAGGCGGGCTATGACTGCATTGAGTCCATTGATGCCGCTAGGCAGGTGAGTGGACAAGTCTAGCAGTCTTAACAATCCTTGGACAAATGTTTCTGTGTTCCTATTTTTCAGCAAGTGCAACAGTTGCTATTGGCCACGGATGCAATGCAGCAAACTCCTCTCCCTGTGGGCAATTTCGAGCTAATGATTCACTACAGTCTGCCCGATTCTTGGTCCAAGTTCTCGTATCGCTTTCATGTTTTCAGAGAGAATATCAACAACTATCTGTCGGGCCAAAAGCTGACTACGAGGATCGTCTCCTTCGTCATCCTGGACGAGAGCAATAGCCACGAGCTGCCGCGTCTGGTGCAGTTCTTTGAGGCGCACGACTTTAAGATGAGCGAGCAGATGCAACAAATGGTGGCCAGCTGTCGCCAGCAGATAGATGAAAGTCGTCAGCTCTGTCCGCAAATCCTGAGCAGCGGTAAGTGCGTTCAGTTGTATTGCAACCGGAGGCATCATCCAATCCGTGAGGACTTCCTGGGGCCCGGCCAGGCTGCTCTGTGGCAACCCGGCACTATGGTGCGCGGCAACATCATCAAGGTGTACGATCCGGTGCACTTTGCCATTATGCCCGTCAGCTTCAGGAGCAGCGAGCACCGCTCCTGGCAGAGTGCCCCTAATATGGCCACCCGGCGCAACCTAAGCACCGAGCTCGACTTGCACATGAGCAGTGCGCGAAATCGCCGACCCAAGCGTACACTGAAAATGTCCGACGTCTGTGTTCTGCGCCGTCGACTCAAATACCAACGCGTTCGAATTGTGGATTTGTCCGAGCGCCTGGTGGTTGTGCAGCAAATGGACAAGGGCACAGAGCTGCTGAAGGTGCAATCTATGGATCTATTTGAGTGTGATGAACGTTTCGCAGTGGAGCCACCGTTGGCCATCGACGTCCGTCTGTGTGGGCTGATGCCACCCATTGGCGAGGGCGACTGGCAGAAGGAGGCGAAGGTGTGGGTGACGGAGCTGCTGAGCAACCTCAGTGAAAATCAGCATTTGCAGTTAACCGTGGAGCTGAGCATGTTCAATGTGGTCTATGCGAATGACATGGCCGTACTGCAGGATTGCCCAGCGCTGCAGACGTGCGTGAGGGCTACGCAACTGCACGATGAGCTGATCCTTCGGAACTACGCCAAATCGGATGTGCAAATCCTAAAAGACTTGCACAAGCTGCATGTCGAGGTGGTCAACAAGCAGAAGCAATTTCAAGCAGAATTGCCTTGCTTAGAGGCTGGCCCAAGGGCAGACGACGAGCAGGTGAAGCAGCTGGAACAAGACAAGGCTAAGCAGGATGAGGGTGTTGAAGAGCTGCACAAAGGAACAGACTGTGTAGAGAATGGCGAGCTGATGCAATCCGCTTCCAGTGCCCAGATAAATTCCTTAGATAAACAGTCGGCAACAGAGATCCACTCCAATTCCGAAACCTGTGCAGAGGATCTGGAGAAGATTGCCACCAAAGTGAATATCGAGCAAGACCAAACTGAAACCAATTGTCCAGCTAACCACTTGATTAACGGGGATGCACTAGCTCCCAAGGAACCAATTGAAATAACTGAGCTTCATCAGGAGCCATCTCAGCCAAATGACTTCGACCTCAAAGACATCATGTATTCACTTATGGAGATTCTGCTGATGGAGCTGAATTCCGATGATGCAGCGCTCAAAGAGTCCGCTAATACTATGATGCAGGAAATACTGGCAACTGATGACACAAGCCCCCAAAAACCAAATATTCCGAAAAAGGAAAGCAATGATGATATTTTGCCAACGTCCAAGCTACAGTTAACACCCGCTAGGTTGGCCAGTGCCTTACGCTGTGCCGCCGTCGCCGACAACGCAGTGCGTCCAAGGGTGTGCTGGCATCAGACTCTGCTGCAGATCGAGCTCATCATCGAGCAGGAAGTGCCACAATACCAGCTCGTGCATCAGGACAATGTCCTCTTCTATCAGGTCACAGAGACGACGCCGCCGCAGCGCTGCATACTCAATCTGCTGGGCGAGGTGAAGATATTATCGGAGCAGCAGCACGGCTATCGACTGCACATTAAGCTGGCCAAGGTTGGCCTCCATGTCTACTGGCCCACTTTGCTGGACTCTTTGTCGGCGCAGCAGCACTGCCATTGGCTGGCCTATGACTCGGAGCACGCCAAGATTCCTCAGTGCGACACGGGTCGCATACACTGGATGCGCTACATCCGCCATCAATATGTTCAGGAGGAGGGCGAAAGCGACGATGGCGATGATTGGCCATCGGATGAATTGAGTGATTTGTCGGAGATAGATGTCGGTGTAAAGGAAACTGAAGATATATAGAAACTCTCTATAAGAGACTGATGTATCAAATATTTTTTAAACTATGTTTGCTTCTCTTTATTCATTTGTTTTTTTACTGGAGTTGCATGATTTTATGAATTTGTTTTTGCGTCCTTTTTTTGTTTTGCAAAATTTATTTACAAACAATTTTTACATGTATTTCCTTACTTATTCTACCAAGAACTGTAAACACAATTTCTAAAAGTTTGTATACAATTTTACATTTTATTTATTTTTTATTTATTTTATTTTTTTTTTTTTAAGTTTTTTCATTATGTCAGTTATTCGAATTCAATATGATTTCTGCACACCAATTTTCTTAATTAAAACTAATTAACTTTTTACGATTTGATATATATAATAATCAGTTTTACATTATAGTTCATATAAGGAATTTTTTTTTTATTTTTGGTTTGCTTAGTAATCGCTGAATTGAATTAGAATTTCTTAACACAACTGAACTGCTTATGCTATATTCTGGAGAGGTTTTATAGGTCTGACTTTCAGCTTTCGTTTTATTGGGCTTCGGACTCAATGAGCTTTTGGCTCTTATGTGAATAGAAGGGATCTCGATCTTGAAGAGATTGAGATTTTTGAGAGTTCTTTTATCGTTTGTTGGTTTGATTTGTTTACAGTATCGTGAGTGGCCTGATCCTTCTGATTGGTCAGTTTGGATTATGCTGAATACTAGGTTCCCACAAAAAGAGTGTAATGTGATCAGAATGTGGGAGCGAGTGATTTAATTATAGTGGATGATGAGCGAGCGTAATTTTTTATGTTGATAATGATTTTTACTGATTGATATTGTTGGAGATATTACTTTAAATCTACAATTAATGTTTTACTATTTACAAAACAGTTTTTAATAAAATGTATTCTAGCAGTTTTAATTAAATATTAATTTAATTATAATTTAAAATAATTTTTGTATGTCAAACATAAAAAAACAGTATAGAATTACAATAGAATTAAAAAAAAATTATTATTATATTCGGCATTTATATTATTTTGTTTGTAAATTCTTTATTAATTAATAAGACTTGATTTCTACAAATAAAATTAAAAAAAAAATTTATATATAATTACACTTTTTATTATTGTTTATATTGAGAAAATAATTTAGTGTGTGTAAATACATGAACATTAATAATGTTTTAGCTGGAAATTGCCCAACTTTTAGCTTATCGTACATCTCTTCATTTCAGTATAGAATTTCATAGGTCTTCAGCAGGGCACCGACAGCATCTCTTGGAAGTTTATTCTTCAGGACCTCCACGTTGAGCAAACCTTGCATGGCGGCAGTGCATTCGTTTAGTACTTGTATTAGGATGTCGGCATTTTCGGACTCGTGTTCAAGTACTGTCCACGACTTGCTGGCCAGGATCAGCGGGGCCAAATACTCCTCCAATTCATCCATTAGAAAGGTGCAGCGCTTTACTTCCTTACTGTCCATCGATGGCAATAGCAGCGCAACTACCTCAATTGGTTCATCTCCAGAGGGTAGCGCACAGGCCACCCAGATGACATTTCCTCGATAAAAGGAACGCTGTATGCGTATATAGCGGCCGGGGAACTTCTCGGCCAAGGACTGCTGGGGCAGTACGTTGGTCAATACGTTGGAGTTGACGATGTACAGTTGCTGGAAGTTCTTGAAGAACGAGTGGCTCGTAAACTTCTCCATGGGGGGCAGTTCTCTTATGGATCTCGAGTTTAATCGCCAGGGCGAATCAAAATCCAGTATAATATCGTGTCGGCTGTTATCGAATAATAAATGTCGACAAGCTTCAGTGAAATTGGTCTTAAAGAATCCCAGCAGTTGCATGGCATCGAAGTCTGAAAGATGGTACACTTCTTTGGCTATCTGCAGATATTCGAGTAATTTGATTGTATTCCAATGCTCGGCTCGAATTTTGTTTGTCGCATAGCATCCATCGAACAGGCTAACTGATTCGAGCGCCGGAAATACATTTAATACATTTGCTTTATTCAGTTCGTCGCATGAGTTGCTGAAATTCGTTATCTGAATCAGTCGGAGACGTTTTAAAATTGGAGTCGGCGATGACTTTGCAATTGCTATTTTGGTGCACAATCCCTTCGGGGACAGGCTACGGTCCGAGTTCAGAGTGTAAACACACCTTTGCATGGTTCAGATAGTCCACAGTCAAACGAATTTCGAATACAAAATAAAGACTTTGGCAGGTTGCACAGCGCGTAAATTGGTAAATGATTTTCCACTTTTATAATTATAAAACAACGGCCGAACAGTTTCGTGCTTTTATTCAAATGCCAAAGACTGCTGCAGAATTTTCGCAATAGTGTTGCAAAGTGCGTGCATCAATCAAAGATAATTTACCACTTTGCATAATTATGAAACACTGAAGGAGACGGCCAATATTTTCATAACTGCTGTGAACTTATGCAAATACAAAAGGAACGCTTGAAAAATACTGCAGAGTACGTGGACTTTTATTATTTCCTACTTTGCATACTTCTGCAGCATTGCGCCAAGGGTATTTACATATTCTTCTGCGAACTTTGAGCGCAACTTGGGATCTTTGGCTGTTATGATTCAAATGCCAAAAAGTACTACAAATTACCCATTTGGTTATTTTCGCCGCACTGTAAGAAGGAAATTTATTCTTCTACGGACTTTTGCGTAAGTTAACTGCTTAAACTTACGATTTAATACCAAAGGTACTGAAAATGTCCCATAAGGATATTTATTTAAGAATTTTTAGTCTTCTGCGCAATTGAAGATTTTGACGCGATTTGAATACGGAATTTTATAATTTTAAAAGATTGCCTTTTATTCTTTCGACCTATTCCAGAATCAGATTGTAAACTTCCCATTTTGTAAGCAAAACTTCGGTAACTTTTTTAGCAAGCGCTAATTGAATTTAATTTAGATCAACATTTTTTTTCTAGGTTACAGAACAGTTCTTGTATACTATATATATGTATATCTTTGTTTTTCTTTTTTTTTTTTTGCTTATACTTACAATTAATAAGAGCGTTTAATGGCTACAATTATGCGTACATATTTTCTACGATATACATAGATGTCGACTTTTCTGCTTATCTAGCCTAACATTTACATTTATATATGGTTAAGCTGTTAATGATAACATTTAAACTAGTCATCAATATAGATGCATATACTATATATACATTTATATTAAGAGCTTCTATAATAGAAAAAAACCTAAAATTGAAAGTAACATTGAAGAATTAAAAAAAATAGGATGAATAAAAGACTGAGTATGTATTTTTGAGATAATATTAGATCGTATGTGATTCAGTCGAGAAATTTGGTTGGGTATATAAAAATGCCACCATTCAATATGAATTGAACTGAAATATGTAATTCCCTGAAACAGGGATAACGAAATACGATATGAAATTAACAAAATAAAAGGAAGTTTAAGCAAATGGGTGAATATGTCTATGTTTATCTGACTGCTGAATAAGTATTTTATGAGCATAGTAATATATTCAGATGGATTATGGGATATATTTATAGTTATATGTATGTACGTTGCTTATAATAATCGATGTTGCTGCTGCTGCTAGGTTTGAGTTCCTTCTTACTTGTCGTATATGAATAATACATTGTGGCTATGTTTCGTCTGCTATCGCTAGGTCTATATATGTATATTGTATATCATTCTAATTCAACTGCACTTAAATGATTTTATTTTTTTAAACTAAATTCTAGGACTTTGCGTACATTTCCTTTGGATGCCCGATTTACTCTTCTCTGGGAGCTAAAACAAGCTGCTCTGCTTGGCCAGGCTGCAGCTGTGCAGGGTCATGGTGCCCGTGGGATGAATTGCGAGGGCGGCGTGTATCGTTGGCGGCGGCGTCGTAACGGGGCCCCACGATAGCCGCTTTCAGTTCGGTCGCAACGGCAACATGCCATAATGTTGCTGATGTGCTTGCTGCTGCTGCTGTTGCTGCTGCTGCTGCTGCTGTTGCATCATCATTTGTTGCTGCTGCTGCTGCTGCTGTTGCTGCTGTTGCTGTTGTTGTGCTGTTGTGGTCGTGATCGTTGGGGGCATCTGGGATGTGGTATAGGTGACAGCACAGGCAGACGACTGGGAGACAACGACGGGTGCGCTCACCTTGCGCTCCGACTGCGTTCGTATGGGCTGTGGATGCGCCGCATTGGGCTGCGGCGGTGGGGCGTACATCAGCATGGGCGGGGGCGGCGGCGAGGGCTCCACGCTGGGATGACGCGCTGGCGGCGTGACTGCCGAGCCATGATACGAGCCATACGAGCTGTCATCGGACTGCGCCGACTGGCCGCGATTGCGCGGACCGGTCATGCCATAGAGTTGCTGCTGCTGCTGCTGCTGTTGATCCCGACGTTCAAACTTGTGATTGCCGTCCAGGGGTGTGGGATTGTTGCGTGATCCGTAGACCGGCTGGAAGCCCTGTGGTTGCGCCTGTGGGTCCGACATGTGCTGCTGCGGTGGCTGCAATTGCTGCTGCATGCCAACTGGCGCCTGTTGCTGCTGCTGCTGCTGTTGCTGCTGCTGCAATGGTTGCTGCTGTCCGCGCATGGAGCCGCGCATGGCATAGATACTCTCGGTGCGCTGCTGCATCTGATTCTGCACGTTCTGATTCTGCAGATGCGACGATTGGGTTGTCGAGACGGCCTGCTGGTGATGTTGCTGCTGTTGCTGCTGCTGCTGCTGCTGTTGAGTGCGCATGGGATAGAGACTCTGCGCTGGCACCAGTGGTCCGGGACGCGGCACAATGTCACGATTGATGGCCGTGTTGCTCTTCGCGTACACCGACTGCGAGCGATTCAAGTTGCTGCGCGTCAGCGTGGGCGAGCGGCAGTAGAGCGAGCGAGTGCCGCCGTAGAGCGGCTCCTGCTGCTGCTGCTGCTGATCGTACTTGGAGGAGAGCGGCGGCGCGGTGTACAGATTCTGGCAGTAGTTGCCGGCTCCAGCGCCGACCACGCCCATGGGCGGCAAAGTGGCAGCGGCATGCTGAGCAGCGGTGGCACCCGCCCCATTCGTCTGGCCGCGTGGATAGGTGCCCTGCGACTGCTGATACTTGTTGGGCTTCTCCATGTCCATGTCGTAGTTTAGCTCATCCTCGGAGTGTATGGAGCTGGAGTCGTTGTCAATGCTGCCCTTGGCATGACGCACGCTGCGACGCGAGCTGAATATATGCTCATACACCAGGCCGGACGCCATGCCGCCGACGAGCGGACCAAACCAATACACCCAATGGTTGTCCCATTTGTTCAGCACAAACGACGGACCCAAGGAGCGCGCCGGATTCAGATAGGGCATCTGTAATAGAGGAAGAGGGAGCATGAGATTGGTGGAAAATGGAAAGAATGTGGAAATGGGGGTTGTCTAAAGGTCTCCGTGAGTCATATCCTCCCATGAAAAATATATTAAATATTTTAAAAAATATATAAATACATTAAATATTTTTTTAAAATCTATTAAATATTTTTATAATAATTAAATAATTATAATCAAATTATATTTGCTACATATGAAAGGCACATATATATGACATGTATATAGGGCAAATATTTATGTAAACGGCATACTTTTAATATATATTAAGTATTTTGTAATAAAAAAATCAGCCTTTAGTTTCCAAGCAATTTGTAAATTAAATTTTCAAAATTCTTCTTTCAAAAACAGATTTTCACAAATTATTTATGAACAATCGAGTGGCTAAATGACTGTCCTTGAATCAGCTGCAGCAGTTCACAGTCGAATTCCAATGCGGATAAATTGTCTAAAATTCATTTTATGATTGCGTGCTCAATTATTATCGCAAGTCTGAAATCGTAATTCAAATCAATATAAATTTCAGTTTTATTGTGCGGCTTAAGGGGAAAGAAAAGAAAAATAAATAAATAAACTGGCTAAATATTTGCTTTTAATTTGTGGACAACAACGTTTCGAGACGCGCTCGACCCTGACTTGGGCTAAATTAATTATCTCGACCAATTTCTCGGTCCCTTTTGTTGACTGGGACTGGGTCTGGGCCTGGTGCCTGTCATGCTGCGATTTTTGCACCATAAAAATGCGCAAACGGCAGGTGCGTTTCTTGACTCTCAGGTCTGAAGGCTCGAGTTGCGAGTTGAGAGTTTCGAGTCTCTAGATTTTAGTGTTGTAGCATTCCTTGAAGCATCATTATCAATGTCAAACTTACCGACACAAAGCAACAGGCGCTGTATGCCGCACCGATGGCAAACGCCGAATTGCCCATGAACTTCTTAATGGCATCCGTGGAGACGAAATAGCAGAGCACCACGACAAAGGTGAGTATGAACTCAACACCGAAACGTTCCCAGGCGGCCAATGCGGCGCTGTGAGAGATTGCCGCCTGCAGATTGCCCTGATACCCCGGCACGGTGACACTGTAAGAAAACAAGAAAGAGAAAGAGACAGAGAGTGAGATTTTTTTATTATAATACTGATTTGGGATTGACTAAAGTTAAGTAATCATATGCTCTAGATACTATATTAACATACAGAATACTGCAACCCAAAGTTGAACTCTTACGACAGTTTGTTAACCCCGGTTCACACACATACACATGCATATATGCATGTATGGGTGAAGCTACTGGCACATAATTTAGATTGCCAAAGTTTCAATTGGCAAAAGTGACAAAAGTTGTTGCCTACGCCTAGGCTGTGCGCGGTATCACAACTTTTTTCGGCTCCTCCAAGATTTATGAACAATTTAACTTTTGCGTTACTGCTAATGAGTTTATCCACATGCAGCTGCTATCAACTTGGCTCTGTGAAAGCTAACTTTGCTCTCGGCTATAATTGAAATCTATCATATATCAAAGTTGAGCTTATAAGCTGATGTTGACATGCCCATTCAATTTATTTGTTATTATTAAGCAATCGAATGATAAGAGCTACACCATGAGATAAGAGATAAACCATGAGAGCTAAACCAAATTCTCAAATAATGAAATTAATTATAATAATTTATTAACTCTTCTTAATAAAAAGTCTGAATATAAAAAAATTCATCCATACAAGATTTAAATAATAAAATACTATGATATCTCTCTCAAAAGAAGATGAGCCATTTCACTTAGAAAATAATATTATTATTTAGAAAATTTAAATATTTTTAATTGTATAAAAAAAGTCATGAGATTCAATACATGTTTAAATATTTATGCTATATTTTATTTTATTTTATCAGCTTAAATAGAAAATATATTTGAATATATGTATTTACATAAAATCCAATTCTCGATTAATTTTGTAATAATATTTGTTTACTCCCCAACTACTACTTAAAACTTGCTTAAGGAAACTAATCAAATTCATTTCAAGTGCATTAAGGGAAAGCATAAAGAAATGCATTTCGAAATTTGTAGAGCTATTAAATGCATGTTAAATAAATAAATGCAAGCAAATAGTTTTCTTTATGTGGCTCATGCACGCAAATAGAGAAAATTTACCGAATCCAAGTGCATAACAGTGTTGGTAAATCCCACACTTGTACACATCATAAGTGTTGTTGAACAAATATTTGCGATGCTTTCTATAGTGTGGAAGTGGGGAAGCGCACATCGCCGCAGTGGCAATTGCACATCATCTCCGGAACATTGAATAACTGTGAAAATCCGGAAATAAACGCTTTCGCAATGCACTTAAAAGTAGTTGAGCAAATAGTGGAGCAGTTGCAGCAAATGGCATTGAGTGGAGCAGCGAATAAACGAGCGGGTGAGAAAGGGAGAGAGAGAGAGCGAGAGTGAGAGAGGATGGCCATCCTAGTGAAAAGGTGAAGTATGCCGGCTTAGCGGCAATAAACGCCAGCTTTGCTACCAAATAACTCTCTACCAATAAAGAATAGTAAAGAAAATGTGCAAAGAAAAAGCACAAATATTTGAAAGACTTTGATAAAAATCTATATATATGTATTTATATATAATATTTCATAGCCATATGCTGTGTGTGTACACAAAGTGGAGCCAACCTTAACAATTTTTTACTTGGCTGAAAGCTTATTCAAGTTCAGATCACAGCAATGAAGGAAATACAACATAAAGAAGTCATCTCAATGACTGACTAGGAGATGCCCTGTGTAGGCTTGTGCATTTTAGAGCTTTATGGGCTTGTTACATGCGTGTTATTTGATTCTATTTCAATATAATATATGTACATATATGGCTTAAACAAACAAGAGCTAGAATTCCTTAATTGAATTTTATATTTTATATAATCTGCATATTCGGCATGGATGACTGCAATAGTTAGAGGTAACACGAATTAAAGATAATATATCGATGCTTCAGCAAAATGCCACATGTGTTCAATAGTTTGACTAGATTCGATATAAAGGACTTTTGAATAATCAAAGGAAATTAACTTTTTAATCCCAACAAGGAATTAGAGCTGGTACTAATTCAAAACAATATATCGATATACATTGCTTAAACGATGTGACATCGACTGCTAATGGCCTAACTAAATTTCACAAAAAGGACATTTGGGAAAATAAGTACCAAATCCACACGGCTGATTATAAAATGATAAATATAAATACAACTTTAAAGTTTATCCTTTCATGTTATCTCTGGCTCTAATACATAAAGAGAAAATTATTTAATGCCCAACTAAAGGAAATCATAATAAAACTTGGCTTTGCCTATGGCTGCCTTAGTTTGATTTTTGAGTTTATTTTCTTGTCCCGGCTTGTTTGCTCATAAATGTATAAAGTGCTAATTTTGCAGCAACAACAAACAAATAGCTAGCACACACACACAGTTACAGTTAAGTAGCAGGAAATAGCAAAATGTAGCCAGAAGTTTATGTACCGTTAAGCTTAGCAGCTTCCCTTTGCTAACCGAACAAAATTGTTGGTGCACGATAAAAAGGCAAACAAACAAGAGAAACAAGAAGAAGCAGACACACCTACACGTACATACATACCTAAGCACATACACATATAAAGCTGCAAAAGTAGTGTGAAAAGGACACAACACACACATTTCTTGCTGCCACATCCGTAATGAAGAGTTAGGTTATGTGCTATGTGCAACACGCTGCAACTGGTTGCGGTTTGAGGTTTAAGCAATGACGGCGGAGGACGCCCGCTCCTCCTAGATGCCAAAAGGCGTGTCAACCGGGACAAATACCTCTGGCGTTTCCCATCGCAATCTGATATTGCAACAAACATAATATTTACGTGCAACACCTGAAGCATTTATTAAGGTTTTATCTGCATAAAATTTGGCAATTTAAATTGCCAAATTAAATTGTAAATTAAAGTGAAATTCATCATGCTGCAGCCGACAATGAAAATGCCACATAAATATGCATGCAGTAAATGCAATTTATTGACTCTGCCACAAGGCAATTAATTATAAATTTTCCACGTGCAACAATTGACACAAAATGTGCACCACAATCAAAGAAATCAACGGCAAATGTGGCACTTGCATAGGAGCTCTTTACGGTTGGATTGCACGCCTGGACCAGCTGTGCAATGTTTAATTTTTTTGTTACTGTATGTAGGTGTATGTATGTGTGTGTGTGTGTGTGAGTGCATCAACCGGAAGCGGCGCACAGGATGCCGTTTTCATGTTGCCAGCGATAAGCTGTTAGCGGGCGGCATCAAAAACGTAATTCAATTGCTTCTATGTGACACGAATTGATTTTGGGCAACTGGCCAGAAAGACGCCATGCCCCATGCCCCACATACGAATCGATAATGAAGGCACTGGCTGCGATTTCAGCTCCCCGGCCGCAGCTCGTTACGTTCCATTTCGTTTCGTTGCATTTAAAATTCAAATTTCGACTCGAAAATCCTGTTTTTTTTTTTTGTATCTCTTTTTTACTGTTGCTGTCAAAGGGAACTACTGTAATTTTTTCTCTTCTTTTCAATTTTTGTTATTTTTTTTTTTGGCGGCAGGTGTGCCTGGCAGGCTTTGAGCTCGTTTAAGTGCCCGACAGTTCCAGCTGCCCTTTCGTGCTGACCAACCAGCGAGCGGCAGCGACACGTGTTTGATTTCAAGTTTCTGTCGCATCCTGCGCAGGCGCAGCAACCGAGAAGGAGCTCAGCACGCAGAAGGGATGGATCGGCGAGTAGATTGAAGACGAAAACGAAGATACAAACGGCGTCGAACTGAACAAAGGCCAATGGTAATTATGCAGTTTTGCTTGCTTGCTTTCTGTCGGTCTGGCGGGCTCTACCTGATTTTTATCTCTCATCATTTTTACTGAAAAGGCATATTTTGGAACGTGCTTGGCGCACGTTTCGTCGACGGTCAAGAATAAAAGCGAAATCCAAGCAAACCAACTCAAATATCCTCATTGAATATCCTCCAGAACGCAACGCGCATAACAATAACAACTAAGCGGGCGAGAGCCGGATATCGATACTTAAAAAAAAAAAAAAAATAAGAAGCAAAAACAACAAATGCATGCGGGCCACGCATGTCATGTTGTTATTTTGAAGAGTTTTTACTTAAAAGCAAAATAAAGTAGAATATGTAGAAATAATAATACTAAAGCCTGCGCCTCAAGTGCCTCTTGGCATCTGGGGTGGAGGCAATTGATATGTGACAGTGAGGCGGCTGAGCAAGTATCTGCATGGGCATGATTCTATATAGGAAATCTGTACATTACAATAATAGTAATATTATTTTCATGTCAGCCAACTCTTATCTCTAAACTATGCTGCTGTTGGGATCTACATATGTGACTATCACTTATCGAATTTCATTTCTACTGTTGGAACTCATATAGTTTATCTAGTATTTAGGGTAGAGTTTCACTTCCACATTTCTAATTTCTAGACATAATACATATTAGATATACAATATCAAATAATAGAAAGTTAATAAATAGTTTCTCCGATTGCTCCTTTAAAATTGCGTTTTATAATGAACATACAAAAAGTTATGTTAAGAAATTTCGAGCTAAACAGCTTATAAATCAATTTATATTTTTCTTTAAAATACTATTATTATATATATAATGTAAAAAAAAATTCATTCAAGAAAGAATTTAAAATTTAAAATTTCTTTGACTTTATTTTATATATTAAAAATTTTAAAAAATATTAAATTAATAATTATAAATTTAGCGCGAATTTTGTTAATGAAAATATTATGGATTTGCAAATACTTTCAGTTAAACAAGCGCGCATTCCTGAATCAGAAATTGTAATTAAATTGAAATTTAGCGGAAAGAATGAAAATGTACCAAACCGATCGAAAATTTCCCTTGCGTTAGTCGCGCCACCTGACGGTAAGGCGCAGCACTAAACGCACTGCCGCTCATGCCTGCCATGATTTAAAAAGAGACACGCTAACTACAGCTAAACGGCTTAAAAGACTTTAAAAAGGACTTTAAAAGACTTTAAACGGATAAATTATTAGTCTATATATTAATCTATATTATATAATAAATTTCGACACAAAACCTATTCACCCAGCCAGCATTTTTATACAAATTTAAAACCTCTGCAGCTGTCTGTCTGAAAGAATTTCCAACTTTATTCTTAGAAACCACAAGAATTCGCACTCAATTTCACGCATCGATTATGCTGCGAGACATCGTTAGTTTTTGTACCGGCTTCAATCTCGGCTAGAGGCCCATCAATCAAACTGAGCCAAAAAACTCAACTCAACTCAACTCTAAAGACGCCCCAAAGCCACAAAATCGACTGCCAAATCTAAACCAATTAATCAACACATACGCACACACACACACACTCTAAATTACTTTTGGAAACATATGTTTCGACTAAATAAAAAACAACTGGAGCTGCCTGCGAGTGGAGACCCTTCCGCAGATACAAGCTACATACGTACATATATGGAGTGAAAAGCCGAAGAAGATGCGAACCTGATCGGCCCTGGCAGCTGAAACATGTTTCATGGCTGCAGCGGCTACTCGGATTGCGCCACGGTAGAAAGTAAAGATGCCAATGCACTTAAAACAAAAAAATATATCTGTGTACATATATACAAACACGAAAAAAAAGGAGCCAAAGAAACAGATGTTGCACAGACCCAGAGCGAGTCAGGGGCAGGCTGCGCAGGCGCATTAACTTTCCAAAAAGGAGTTCAACGTACAACAAAACAGAGCAGAACAAAAAAATTGGAGCGCTGCGCAGCAGCAAATATATATATATTTTTGGTTCTGCTTCATTGTTTATGCTATCTTTATATATATAGGGAGATATATGTATATCTATCTATTGCCTGTGACGTGCACAAAGACTGATATTCCACACGCATATCCTGCGCAGTGTTTGTCAGCTAGGCATAAAAGACGCTGACAGGACCTACAAAGATTTGGATACGCACTATAAGGAGTGCGTATGCGTGTGTGTGTGTGTGTGTGTGTGTGTCTAGGCAGCACATGTTGCCTGGCCTCGACAAAGGAAGGAATCCGGTCCTGACAGCAAACGCATTTTCAACAAAAATGGGAAATCACGTTGGCAGATGTTTTGCGCCCTAGCTGAGATAAACGTGGGAGTAAGAGACAGAGAGAGAGAGAGACAGAGAGGGAGAGTTAGCTCAACTCCTAGCTAAGTTACTACCTGCGCTCTATGCAGGTGCTTACAGCTCTGTAAGTGTATGTGCGTGCGTATGTGTGTGTGTGTGTAGGATAGAGCATTTTACCTGCATATCCTATTTATACATTCCTCTAGCTGTTCCCCTATTTATTTCGATTTCTGCTTCATCTTTCGTCTGTTTTTTTTTTTTGCACACTCAAACTACGTATTTCCTGTAAATGATTTTTGGGCAAAGTGTGTCCCTTTGGTACAGTCACCGCATTGGCCGTTAGGATTTTCGAGTGACATTGAGCACCTTGTTGAATTTAATTCGGAAATTGCTGTTAGCACAGGCATATCCTGTCCCAAGCTCGGGTCGAGCATACATACTTTTACAACGAAATGAATTTCATGCTCAACGGACATTTTATATGGAAATTTGTAACCGGGCATTATTAAAGTACCATCAAGTGAGGGCGGAGCCGTGGGCGTTGGATCGAATGCTATGAAGTCATTTGGAAATACTTGGAATCTGATTGCAGACAGACTCAAGCACTTGCTTCTGGCAATTCATTTCTGATTACACTGAGCGAAAAAAGGACATTACTAAGCACTAAATGATTATTTGTTATTGTTATTAGACTACATCATTAGTTAATAAATAATATATCTTTGCTGTTTCTGAATCAAAGAGAGATTTTTCTAGTAAAAATGTATATGTTTACTTCTTGTTACTCGTATTATATTATTAGAATTAATAGATGTATAGGTATTATATATATTTGATTAATTGGATTATGTACATATATATTTTTCTAACCTAAGCAAATATATTTGCTAAAAATGAATTATGATAAGCTCTATAGCTATCATTGATTGATGTGCCCTGCCCTGCCCTTGGCTGTATCGCCAAGAACCCTGGACTATAAAATAAATATACAACTATATGTACATATTTTATATTACAAAGACAATCAAAGTCTAAAAAATTACTCTAGCTGTAAAAAGGACATTTAGTCATACTAAGACGAAACTTTCGATAATTTTAAAAACCTCATTACTATTTATTAATCACCAAATCGATTGGATAAATAGCTCGATAATATTTGCTTGACTTACCCATAGAGCAGAGCGGCACCCGCAATGCCTCCGCCGCATTGGGCGGTCATGTACATCGCGGCACGTATGGGGGAGATGCTGCGGATAACGCAGCAGGCCAAAGTTACGGCGGGATTGATGTGAGCGCCTGTGGTGCGAGAGTAACAAAAATTTGGATAAGTGGATTAATCATTAAATATTTAACAAGAAACGATCCAGGTAAATTATGCTCAGAAAAAAAGTGAAAGCTGTCAAAGAAAGTTATTAATATAATGAGGTCTATGCATATGGCAAAATAATATAATATAAAACTAGAAGAGACTAGCAGAAAATTTAAATTCATGTAGAACTTTAAATAAAACTTTCTATTCGATTATATAAAATGCCTCATTCTCTTGCTGCTTTGTCAGATGTGTTTATTCTCAGTTCAATCTATTATAAAAATATATTTATATATCTGGTGTGCATCCCCTCTCGCTCTGAAAACCGTTAAATAACATTTTGACACTTTCGTGGAATATTATTTTTTATGCGCTGGATTGAGGGACTCTGTTCATAACTTAATGTGCAGCCAATTGGCTGTGAAAAAGAAAACATATAACATATGTATATATGCGCATACATTTCTATATATTTACAGTTACAGTCATACAGAATGCAACTTAAAGGCGAAATCAAGAACACATGTTCTCTCTGCATACGTACGCCCTGGCCCCCAACATCCCCGCCCTCTTGTGACAACATTTAATTGCCCCGAATGTCAACGCAGATGAACAAATACACGAGGAAGTTGTACAGAGAACAGTGAAAAATAACAGAGAGGCCAGTGCAAGTGCGCCCGCCACAGATAAGAGCGTCTCCTCGGCTGAGTGCAGCCAAGGCGCTTGAAAAAGCAAAGGGGGAGCCGCAGCAGGAGTGGGAGCCAAGGGGCAGGAGACGGAATCGCAGACGTGGGCGACAACCACAGTGCGTTGGCTTTTCGAAAATTACAACAACAAAAAATAGAGAGAAGAAAATACATAAATATAAAAAGAAAACAAATAGTAA